AAAGTACAAGAAAAGCATAATAGAAACAGTGAGCAGAAGTGTGAGACAAAGGAGGAGTAATAACGAAGAACAAAACAGTTTCATTGAAGATCATAAGTCACAGGGAGTGGATGCATCTGCGCCACTGTGAACGGTTTTGAGCCATGTCACCAATTGTTTCCAACCATAGATTTTTACCGTCCCGAGGACCCCAGCCTGGAAGTCTACACCTTTCTACGTGGCTTAGACCAACTGTTGTGGATTTCATTGACTGGTGAAGCCAAGTTTTTGTTTGACCGCCGCTAGCTTTTTTCCAGTCTGACCCTATATCCGCTAACATAGCTCGTCGAGGGAGGCGATGGCTTGGCATACGTAACACATGTCCTAACCATCTCAGTCTTTGTAGTTTCACGACTTCGTCGATTGATTTCCCCTGTTTACCTAGAACTCTGCGCCTAACCTCAATGTTGCTCACCTTATTATGCCACTTTACACGGGAAATAGAACGCAGGCACCTATGATCAAAGACAGCTAGTCTTTTCATGTCTTCCACTCTCAGTGGCCAGGTCTCACAACCATACAGGAGGACGGAGCGGACTGATGAGCAGTACACCCGCCCTTTGGTCGATAGTCGAACATCTCGTCTACGCCAGAGTCGGCGTAGTAAAATGATGAATTAGAGATTGAATCCTTATTTTATTAATAACTATAATTTTCAGGTTTTATTATTTCATCACTGACGTCTTATAGGAATTAATCCGATTTTTTTGCCTTCGCATATACAAAACATGACAAGAAACAAATGCAATGAAGTGTGTATGAACCAGCTGCGTAGAAAATTTATAACATCGTCATGAACACGATTATATATATAGTTTCACTTTCAAAGATTGTGTGTGTATGTGTGTGTGTGTTTGTGGATTCATTTAGACCAGTGGGTGAAAAATAAAAAAATTGTAGAGATTAGTCCGACAAATCCAGGTGGAAGGATGGATAGACAAAGAGATAAGAGAAAAGGTTGAAATGCTATATTCACAGATAGGAAAAAATCAAGTGGATTTTTATCGAAATAACACACATATCACCCACCCACCTCTACATTCATTTAACATGGAAAGAAACCCAATCACATTTTTTTTAGCTGTTCACATATCAACTTAGTAGTTCTCATATTAAATAAAGACACTTGATTTTTTTCTTCGTTTTTAAAGTATCAGATTTTAAGCAACATGCTGGCTTTCAGTCTTCTATTCAACAAAATTCTCATCCTTCACACATGTTTATATAATCTCGCCGAGTTAACTAGCCAGTCCAAAGAAGTCCCAGTAAACAGACAGGGTTGGGGGCGTACGGATATCAACCACACACTACTAAACCTATCATCAAACTGCTAGACAAACTTCATTCAGCACACAGTAAATATATACTGCAAATACAGAAACTTCAAATAACAACAATCTTACTTTTCGCTTGAATCGGAGAGGCGAAATGACACAGTGGGCTGGTGAAAGCTAGCCGTCGGGAAGCCAGTCACAGCCAGTCTCCCAGTGTGTGTCTTCTCTCGATGAAAGCAAGAGTAGGAACGGGTAGGTGGAATGTCCGTACAATGTGCGAGACTGGGAAGGCTGTCCATTTAGCCAAAGAGATGGCTTAGAATTACTGAGTATCTGCGAAAGCAGATGGAATGGGTGTGGACTGGCAACATTGTTAACGAGAGAGTCAATAATCTACTCCCGTCTGGTCATTCGGACAAAAACCACGAGCACACTGAGACAGTGAGTAGGTGGCTACCATGATGTCACCAGTGACAACCAAAGCCCTAATGCAGTGAAAACTGATCTCCTCATGAAGACCATGACAACAAGATTCAACTGAAAAGGAAGGAAGGAAGGTCACAATTATCCGATGCTACACACAATGCTATAAACAACGCGGAACAAGAGAAGATAAACGATTTTTACAGACAACTACAAACAGTAATGGATATCAAAATCTTTACGGGCGATATGAATGTAAGCCAAACTGGGAGCAGAAAAAACAGGAAGAGAACTCATCATGGGTCGAGAAACTCTCACTCGGACGGAGTTATTCGTAGACTTCTGCTCTTTCAACAATTTGGTGATCGGAAAGAGCGTGTACAAACACAAAGATATACACAAAGCAACAAGGATTTAGCCTGACGGACATACTACAAACCAGAGATTTCACCTCAATACTGTTCAAAGAAGTGGAGACGCAACTGCTGGATACAAAGTTGAGAAGGGGAGCAGATGCGGGCTCACGTCATCACCTAGTTCAAGGAACCTTCAAAGTGAAGTTGAGATTCCTCAGAAGAACTGCAGACAGGGAAGAATCCAACTTCAAGGTCCGCATTATGTACGAGATTGGCAAAGCTGCCCAGACTGCAAAAGAAATGAAAAGATACGGAATTCAAGTACTTGGGATATGTGAAAGCAGATGGAACGGGAATGGACTCAACAAATTGTCAACGGGTGGAGTCAGTGATCTACTCCGGTCACCCTGAAGATAACCACACGCACACCGAAGGCGTGGCTATCATGATGTCAACAGCGGCAACGAAGGCCCTGATGCAATTGGAGGCGATCTCGCCCAGGATAATGACCGCCAGATTCAACTACAAAGGAAGGAAAGTGTCAGTTATACAATGCTATACACCCACAAACAATGCAGACCTCGAAAAGAAAGAAGAATTCCAAGGACAACTACAGGCGACAGTGGACAATACTCCAGTTGATGACATTAAAATACTAAAGGGAGACATGAACGCCAAAATGAGACCCAAAATACACAAGACAAATATCCCGTTACGACCGATTGTATCACTCCCAGGAACTCCAACATATAATTTATCCAAAGAATTATACAGAAAACTAAAACACCTAATGGAATACCGCGATCACTCCATCAACTCTGCTATTCAATTCCTAGAGAAAATCAGAGACATCCAAATAGATGAACAAGAAATAATGGTATCCTTCGACGTGACAGTATTATATACCTCTATCGGACAAAAACTAGCAAAAGAAACCATGGAGCAATTACTTAGCAACGACGAACAACTTCCACAACAATCAAAAATGCAACACACAAGTTGAATGGAATGCATAAACTCATGCCTAACAATGTATTACCAATTCAACAGCCAAGTATATGAACTAGTTGAAGGAACACCCATGGGATCGCCAATATCAGGTTTGATTGCAGAAGCAGTGATGCAAAGACTCGAAAACATAATTCTACCAAAGATCAAACCCAAAATTTGGATACGTTATTTAGACGACACATTCGTAACAATCAAAAGAAAGGAGTTGGATAAAACTCACAACTTAATAAACGACGTCTTCAACGACACAAAATTCACAAGAGAAGATGAATCCGAGGACAAAATACCATTTTTGGACATCTTAGACAAGCGAAAAACTACAGGGGAATTAGAAACTCAAGTTGATAGAAAATCAACTCACACAGACCAAATCCTGAATTACAACAGCAACAATCCAATAACACACAAAAGGAATTGTATACAAACACTGTTCAAGAGGGCGAGGACTCATTGCGGCACTCCCACCTTAAGGAAAATTGAAGAAAGATATCACATGGACGTCTTCCAAAAGAATGGATATCCACGGAATTTCATCAAAAGACATCTACTCCCAAGCCAACTTATCAAGTCAAAGACCTAAAAAGAAAGCACAAAGAAAACTGCCCTACCGTACATAAAAGACATCTCAGAAATTACTCCCAGACTCTTCAAATTTTTAGGAATTGACGTAGCACACAAATCAACAAAATCACTTCACTCAGTTCTATGTCAACCAAAAGACAGACTCAAGAGCGAAAGAAGATAAAACCAACATCATCTACAAAATAAATTGTAACAACTGCGAAAAACGCAACATCGGCAAAAGTGGACGTCCCTTTCGTCTTCGTATCCGTGGCCATAAGCTAGACGTCAAAATACATGACATCCACTCCCTCACTCATATCGCCTCACTACATACACATAACCACGGACATCAATTTGACTGGAACAACCAGCGTTCAACTATTAGACAGAGGAAACACCAAGAATGCTAGAGAATTATTAGACGACTGTCTAGTATTCCAGTGAATCGTCAATCAACAGACACACCGAGATAGACAAAATTCACCAACCAATAAGAAGTAAATCCCACACACAAAGGGTTAAAGTTTAAGTCAAGGAAGCGATCAGTACCAATACAAGTGGACTAGTCGGTGTGAAGACACGCAGAAACAACCAGTCACGTTCAAAGTGACCCAGCAGGAAATATGACTAATAAACTACTCGTGGAGAAATCTAAAAGCTCACTTCAATGAATTGAAGTATGCGCTGAAGATGTTGCCTAATAGGGCAATGAAACTCATCCAGCTCAGAGAACACGACTATATCAAGAAGTTAATCACTCCATGAATGACTATGCAGTGTATATGTACGCTATAAAATAAACCCACTTTGGAAGTCAACTGTACCGCCCAGATTTTCTAATTTCGGTAGCTTAAATATTATCGTACAAAAAAGTGGAATGCATTAAACAAACTATTTCTGCCTTTTTGTTTGGACTCAATTACTCTGGATAACAGCCATACTTAATGTGTGACGGTTGATAAACCTAATTGCCCAGGCTGAAACGAGCGGAAAGGGACATGAACTCATGACCCGTTGGCTGTGATCCTGGCTCTTCACCCGATATCAATGACATCTATGCTAATTTGTTCTCTTTTCAACTCTACAGTACTGATTTAAATCTGCAACTTGATAGTTCCAGATATTTCCAACTCTTTAAAAAATTCAAGAGATGAAAGACGAATTCCAATGCATTTAAATCAGATTTCATAGAAAATGTATTCGAAAAATACTGAAATTCGAAGGTAGTTTTATTGGTTAGGTAAACTTAGAAATCATAGCTCTTACAGATAATTGGCAGCTTGTTAATTATCCTACTAACAAAAATAAAGTAGTATAAACCCATATCGCTCACCTTACTATTCGGTAGTGGACGCAGTGATTTTTCGGCTTTACTTGGATCATCTTTTTCTTCAAAGTAGAAGGAACTCCGAAACCTGATCAAAGGCTAAAACCAAGGGACAGAAGGACAACTGAATTAACTAAGCGAAGAAATAATACCTCTATCGGCAATCTATGTAAATGCAGGAAAGCAACGGGAGGAAATCAGCGATTTCACTCCCTATTTCCTCGCTAAAACATCTAATAAAACAAAGATATCAGATTTACAAATATATGAATATGTGGGTAAAATTACTATTATATACTCTTATTATTCCCTTGGGTTTCGAGTGGAACGGCTTCCTATCAGGAGTCAGCCAATGGTTTTCGTCTAATGACCTTAAACTGAATCCTTCTAAATGTCAGACTGTTGATTTCAGTTTCCGATATAAAAGAAAGTTAAATGAAGCTGTTGGTTCCTATAACCCTTGCAAAATTGATGATACTGATATAGAAACCAAGTCTGAATTTCAGTATCTTGGATTGATTCTTTTTTTCTGACCTATCCTGGTCTTCCCGTGTATTAGCGATTTCGAAAAGAATATTTCGTCTAACTTTTTACATAAAGAAGTTAAGGCACTCAGGCATAACCCAACCACTCCTCTTACAGTTTGTCAACTCGTGCATCTTACCTATTCTTCTTTACTGTTCACCCTTGCTTATTCTTTCCTGGATTGCTCAAAAAAAGTTTATGTCATACTTCGTAGGACTCTGAAGACTGTCAGTCAGTAGGACGAGTGGCATCCCATTGGGCCATATTGTTGACACCGTCATTGATGATAGGCACCTGATGTCATGCAACAAATTTGCTAGAGGAATTTTTTCACTTTACCCGCAGCTCTAACCTTGTGTCTCCTCAGGTAAAACGTCTAAGTATAAAAATTCCACTATATATTCCACTTCATATTTGGCACGTACTTTATGTGATAAAAATAGTGTTAGGCACGAACCAACTAGCCTTCTTTGCACTACACTACATAAACCATTTCCTCCACCCTTACAATATCAACTTTTATTGTTATTGTACTTCTTATATTTATAATTCTCTCGATTTTTTCCCTCATAAGTGTGAACGTCGTTTACCTGTGGTATAACTGTTAATCTTGTATTTCCCCTCACCATGCTGCTATATCAACAGAACATGCTAAAATTTTCAAATTGAATCAACAATACTGTTTGAAACAAACTCACTGTTATTATTATTATTATTATATTTACTATTCTCACTTAGGACTTCGAATGTTTTTGACTTTATATTGTAAACGTGGACAAATTCCTATGGTTAATTTTGTTTTAATTTTTAATTTTATTTATATTTTGAGTTAATCAGATGCAATATTGTTACAGATGCTGAGAATTCCATTCTGTATTATAAGTACTGTTTTTGGAATAAAGTCTGTCTGTCTGTCTGTCTGTTTTCGACATAGAACTTTGCACAAATGTGCGGAAGTTCAAGTCGCCACATTCCGTGTAGCACGCGAAGCAAGAGAAGAAAGTACAAGAAAAGCATAATAGAAACAGTGAGCAGAGGTGTGAGACAAAGGAGTAATAAAGAAATACAAAACAGTTTCATTGAAGATCATAAGTCACAGGGAGTGGATGCATCTGCGCCACTGAGAACGGTTTTGAGCCATGTCACCAATTGTTTCCAACCATAGATTTTTACCGTCCCGAGGACCCCAGCCTGGAAGTCTACACCTTTCTACGTGGCTTAGACCAACTGTTGTGGATTTCATTGACTGGTGAAGCCAAGTTTTTGTTTGACCGCCGCTAGCTTTTTTCCAGTCTGACCCTATATCCGCTAACATAGCTCGTCGAGGGAGGCGATGGCTTGGCATACGTAACACATGTCCTAACCATCTCAGTCTTTGTAGCTTCACGACTTCGTCGATTGATTTCCCCTGTTTACCTAGAACTCTGCGCCTAACCTCCATGTTGCTCACCTTATTATGCCACTTTACACGGGAATAAAGTAGATTATTTATTTATTATTATATTATTATTATATCCCTTCAGTGGCTCATCTTCATTTCACTCTGTTCTCTGAAGTCTTTTGTAACTGGCTGCACGACTACTTAGAAGCTTCTTTTCTTTTTAACCAGACGATCTTCTACATGTCACCTTAGGAAGTCCCACTTGCCGTTACTTATTCAGGCTCTACGTTAGGGTGTGATGTCACTCAACGATTTTCTCAGAGTATGTCCAGTCCATCCCCATTTTCTTTGGCACATTTGCTAGGGGATAGAATTCTTGTTTGGTTCATTGTTAGATTTCCTCAACGTTTATCCTTTCTAACCATCAGATCTTCAGCATCAAGCGAAAGCAGCTTGTTGGGAGTCTTTTTCGTAATGCACTAAATCTCTGAAGCATATATGGGAGCATTGACTTGACAGTGGTATTGAAAATCCAAAACTCCGTCATGCCAGTAGTGCCAGTAGATGTCCAATAATCTCAACCTTACCTTTGAAATCATAATTTGCGCTGCCTGTGCCTGTAGCTGGACAGATAAATCGGATTGCATTCAGCCACACGATTTCGGCTCAAAGTGAATTCACCACATACACCAACGAAACTTTCAAAATTGATTTTTTTAAAGACATAATTTGGTAAATCTATCAAGTCACTTACACGGTCTTTGTAAGTTTCAGGAAGAAAAGTAGGTGCATGTGAATTATTATTACATTTCCTTGAATCTGTTGAGTTCAGCGTACCACTTATGCTAGAATGAACGTCATCCATCATGGGAGAAAATGTATTCATCAATTGAGGTGTGGAAGATTTTGAAGCTTGATTTTCTATCGGTGTGAAAGGGCCAACTGTTGACGGCAAATGTATTAAACAGCCGATGACATCATCCTTTTTATATCCACCATTCGTATAATGTTTACCGTGAGATTCATGAAATACAGTACCAAGACGTGATCGCCAGGAATAGCTAAATTTGTCAAAACCACAAGGTGCTTGTAAATTACCTGGATATATATCAAGAGAGAAGGCAGTATTGAACATCTGTAACTGGAAATAACTGTAGATCACAAAAACCAATACAAGTTTTTCTTAAAAAAAGACAAGCATTAACATGTTTTGACCGTCTCACAGTCAAGTAGTCAAGTTAAAACTTAGATACAAGCTTTAAAAGACTAAACAGACAGTCGAAGACAAACCAGTAGAATCAAGCTGTAGTAGCGAAGAAATCTCAGCACACAACAGACTAAGATTGGGCTAGTAAATTCACAGTGCTGGACAACTACTCATCTACTCCTAGCGAGTAAATAGTTCGATGTGGCATAATCTATGCTATTCACTGCAGGACATTACGAGCAGGTAGGCATTAATACAACATGCTTTCCATAGCATAAATCATTTATATTACTTGTATATATATATATATATATAGAATATTCTAGAATAGAATATATTCTAGATTAGTAGTCAATAACAATATTGGCGTGTTTTCTAAATAATATCGATTTGTAAAGTATGACCACAATGGAATTACAGTTCATTAAAGAGGCTTAAATTATAATAATAATAATAATAAAGATACAGTAGGAAATAGAATATCAATTAAAATTAGGAAAACTCCACAAAAATTCAGGATCATTCAAACCTAGCTGGCCAAGGTAACGATAATGTCTGAACTAACTTTTTTGGATGCACAAATTACTCTTTTTAATATGGATCCCAACAGTCAGCCTCAGCAATATTTAGTAGTCGAACTCTTAAGGAAAAATTGTGATTTTTCGGTATGCAGTTAATGACTATGAAAGCCTCCTTGTTAACATCAATCTTGTGTTCTGTATCCACAAGATGAGAGAGAATAGCGCTACGAATAGATCTTGTTTGTACTTTACTTAAAACACGCAGGATGATGTTCGGAAATCCGACAAGAAACACGTCTAATTGTACGACCTATGTAACTGGCTCCACAGGAGCAGTTTAACTGGTAGATACACATGAAAGAGGAGAAATAGGCAGTTCATCTTTTACTCCTGGACGCAAAAGAGGCGTGATTTTGAAGACATAGAGTAATTCAGCAGCAGGGAATGCTCTTTTCACCGCCTCATTTCTAAGGCTATGTGTTAGTATCTCGCTGATGTTGTCCCTAAGGAACTGCATTTGTAAGAATAAGGCTTTTTTAGGAACTCTTGGTACCTTGAGCTGCCTTGAATTTAGGTTCATATTCTCATTAATAAAGTTTTCTGGAAAACCGTTTTCACTCAGCAACCATTTGATATTAGTAAGTTCCCCATCAAGACAATCATCCGAGCAGATTTCTTTTGCTCGGTGGAACAAACACTTTATCAGATTGCGTTTGTATTTCAAGGGCACGAAGCTGAGAAAATGAGTATACTGACCCGTTGATGTAGGTTTTCTATATACACTTCTTCTTATGGCGCCATCCTCTTTACTGGTCATAATGTCATCTAGAAATGAAATACTAGAGTCTTTCTCTTCCTCAATAGTAAAATTTATTGCAGGATGAACCTCGTTAAATTTATCCAGGATGTTATTTGCTTCCTTCTCATTTTTCATACTCAAAAATATATCATCCGTGTACCGACAATAGAATTCGAGTTCATTAATAACATCCTTCCAAGGCCCATATTCTAGTTCCGCGAGGAAAATGTCGACTAGAATGGGTTCTATTGGTGACGTCACTACCACACCGCCGATTTCCCCATATAGTTACTTATTAAATAAAAAGTGGACATTCATTGTGCTTTTGAAGAGAAGCTCTTTCGTAAAAGATATAGGAATGCCAACATCAATGTTTCGTCTTATGAGTTCATAGCATACAAAGTCCACTGTTTCCATGAGTGGTACATTGGTGAATAAGGAAGATACGTCAAATGATATCATGAACTTATTGTTAACATTTAAATCTTTTATCCTTTCAACAAAACCAAAAGTATCCTTTACACTGTGTTTCACCAACTCGGTATGAAGAGTTCGACTAACCATTTGGATAGTATCGTGAATTTAGCATATCTAATAATGGTCGAAGCGGTACACCATTTTTGTGCGCTTTAGGCGAGCCATATAGTCTTGGTGTGAACACTCCAGTGAGCTTAAGTGATGTATAATGAAAAAAAAGTTTGATTGCATTAAAAACTACAGATTCTTATACTGGCTCATTTCCATAGTGTTCACCAATGTTTGTAAGAGGGACAAACATTGCCTAATTATTCGACCGAAACATCTGACAGATAAGCATTCATGGCATCTACCTTATTTTACCCGGCAGTAACAACTTGTATAAATAGGGACGACAGAAATTTCAATACTCACCATACATTTGAGACCAGCCAATTCGAGTTGCAGAACCTTCTGGTTGTTCTGTGATGATTGCTTCAAAATACCAGGTACCCGAGTGAACGCTGTGAGTCGCTCTAGACATACAGTATCCTTTATCGCCAGTAACTGATAACTGAGATTCGTGTACTTTCAAGTGATTCGCTATGAAGAAGAATAAAAAAAGTAGTAAAGGACAAGAAAACAACAACAATAAAGCCTGTCTGTCTGTTTTCGACATAGAACTTTGCACCGATGTGCGGCAGTTCAAGTCGTCACACTACCTCCTTGTAGCACACAAAGCAAGAGAAGAAAGTAGGAGAAATGTATAATAGAGACAGTAATCAGAGGTGTGAGACAAATGAATAGTAATAACGAAGAACAATATGGTTTCATTGGAAACCATAAATCACAAGGAGTGGATGCATCTGTGCCACTGAGAACGATTTTGAACCATATCACCAATAGTTTCCAACCATTGGTTTTTACCGTCCCGGGGACCCCAACTAGTCAGGAAGTCTACACCTTCCTACATGGCTTAGACTAACTGTTGTAGATTTCATTGACTGGTGCCATGTTTTTGTTTGACCTCCACTAGCTCTTTTCCAGCCTGACTCTGTATCAGCATCAATAAAGTAATCATGAAGGACTGAAATTCAGATGAAAAATGTATGCTTTTTTATACAGATGTTTAAGTAGTACAATCATTAGTTACACTGGGTAGAGGAGAATGATGGTCAGGAAGGCTTTGTGTGCTTTTGGAAGTGCGTGGGCGGTTGTTACTTGCCAGCTACCCAACCAACCGTGGAAGTTGGTTGATTCTTTGGGTACCTGAAGGGTTGGTGTTGTGTGACCACAGAGCCCAGGGGACAACTGCTTGAGTCCAGTCACACACGGCCTGTATGAACTGATTTCTGGGATTGGTTCCGTATTAGTAAACTCATAACCGGTTACGGACTACCGCAGGTTGAGTCGAGGGGTACAATTGTTGGGGTCGACATTTTTTGGCTCCCTCTCTCCAGAGTGGATAGACAACATAGCTGGCTGGCATTCTGGTCATCTGAGGGAAACACTGTACTGCTGTTACCTGCTTCGCCGGTTACGGACCACCGTAGGGTGAGTCAGGATGTACAATTGTTGGGGTCAACATTTTCAGACACCATAGCTGGCTGAGATGCTGGTCATCTGAGGGAAACACCTCACTGCTGTTACACCCCTGTTCCCCAGCAGTACGATTTCGCCCTCCGACCCCCAGCATAGTGTAGAAAAAATAAATTCTTACACTATGTCAGCAACTGCTTTTAGTCTAACGCTATCCTAACAACCTCCCTGGGATGGTAGGACCCGCAGGAACATTGGTTCCAGACAGTGTAGCTTGTTGGATCATCGCGATGTGCAAGCCCGACCACTACGCCAAGGTAGCAGCTATCGGTCGGGCATTAGTTATGCCTGTTCAAATGAATAATAAACAAGTAAATTCAAATGTTTTCTACAAACTTCACGTTGTTCAGGTTCAGGATGCTAAGCAAAATGTACAAACTTGAGGGTGTAAATGTAAGGGGTAGAAGGCGAAAGATTTGGTAAGGAATGTTTACTCGGAAATTGGTCTCTCTATATTATAGCCAAATTATGTACACCTTATCTTCAACGCGCTATTTGCACAAATCTTCCGTGTTGTGGTACTTCTAGCCTTCTTATTGTGTTTCTCTGTTTCCCTTCCAAATCTCCTGTGTATCTCTCCGACTATATTACTATAGTATATGTTTTTTTTCCTTCACGCTTTCCCATTGGAACATAGGGCACCTTCAAGCTAGAAGCTTGAAGTTTCCTATAGCAGTGATGTTTATGTTTACAGGATGCGGTTGCTAGCCTCATGCCTAACCTTCTCTCTTTACCAGTTTTATTACTGGCATAGCGAGGTAAGGGGGGAGTGCGTCAGTGGCCGGGGACCGAACCCCGCACCATGTGCATGGTCGGCAAGCATGCTAACCGCTACGCCACCGACGTGTATCTGTATGAAATTAAGATAAGAGAAAGAAGTTTATAAAAGCATCCAAGAATATTATGGAATGTGTTAGAAAAGAAATCTTGGTATAAACAGAAAATAATAATAACAATAAGAATAGGTAGTTGAACATTTGAAATTGATTTATTCACCTAAATTATTCATTCATTCATTAGAGTGGTATCGGTGATAAAGTTGGCATTGGACTCCATTTTTTATATGAAGTTGATATACTAGGCGGTGATATTGGAACTGATGTTGTTGTTGTTGGTGTTGTACTGGTCATCGAACTAGTAGTGATGATGAATGCATAACACCGTCGATTAATTCATTTGGTCTCGGTGTTGTATACCATCGACCACTTGGTGGTAATAGATAAGCACAATGTTTTATTAATAATTCAATTAATGCATGTTCAAATAGTGTACCAGCTAAACAACTTATAGGATCTGTATACGATGAACTTAATAATGTTGGAGATAAAACAATAGCTAAGTTAGCAGTAGTCATCATATTGATTTCTTGCTTTTCAGCTATCCTGTGTATATGATTGATAAAGTAACGTAAACTTTCATAATGAGCACCTGGTAATCGAGAAAACACCTTCTTCAATAAATCAAGCTTTTCTTGTTCCACTAGTCGGTCATTACGAACAACATAAAGTAAATCTGGATAAGCTTCATTGGTGATTAATGGGACAGGCGATTGACGTAGAAATGATTTAATCAAACTTGTCAAAGCATTGATATCACGTACATGAGCTTCAGATATATTGGCTAATTCTGGATCTTTATCAAATTCAATACGTAATTCTTCGACTAGATCATAATTTCCATGGATACGATAAAGACCTTCACAGAATAATCCACCACAACGTTCTATTTCTTGAATACATTTAATGAGAAGTGTTGGCACAGCCTTATTTTCAGCTCTTGCTAAATTAGTCAAATCAATACCGAAAACTCGTTTCATTTGCTTAATATCAGGTACACAATTACACAATCACGTATAGTATATATATATATATATATATATATATATTACTCATAAATCTTATCAGTAACACTCGCTACTATAAATGACTATTAAAGCGACACAAACTACTGAAAGACTGAGTTGTTTTTAAAACAAAAGTTCATGACTTACAAATGAAATAAGTGCTGTTAATAAAAATATAAATTCTAAAAATTTAATAATAATCATATATATATATATATATATATATATTCGCATAAATTCATATTTTTTTCTCAGAACATTGAAGGCAAACAAAAATTTCATGGGAAACACCTATGAAAAAAAAAAAAAAATATATATATATATATATAACAAAGATAAACTTACCACGATCACTCAGAGACAAGACCACTTGCGAACATATAAACACACGGTAGAATAAGCCAGGTATGGGCTTTCCAGCTGTGAACTCACATTCATCCCACTGCTCTCGACCAGGAGCATGCTTGTCTGGTTCAACTAAAATGTAACTGAAGATAAGAAAACCAAGCTATCAGCAGATGTGATAGTTGTTTCGTGGTAGTTAAGTAATCCTGTACACCTATTCATCGTGTTTCAACACACCAGTAACTGATCTAGATATTTCATACATTTGGTTCCCTTGATAAATTTCGATAGAGGAAGAAAGACCAGATTTGCAGTATAAAATGAAATCATCATCCTATTTCACCGGTTTCTCCTCATCAGTTGCAAACTATCTGAAATTACAATGGTTATAAGTAGTGACATTTCATACTTCAATTTTTGAAAGGTAATAAAGAAAAAATTATAAGATGAGCACATCTTTATTACCTTTCAAAAATTGAAGTATGAAATGTCATTACTTATAACCATTGTAATTTCAGGTAGTTTGCAACTGATGAGGAGAACCTGTGAAATAGGATGATGATTTTATTTTATACTGCAAATCTGGTCTTTCTTGATCCAGATTTGTTACATCATTTTAGCGATGGATTCAGGATATCCTATTAAGCACTCTGTATCTCATTCCTAATCAGTAAAATGCTACTAAAATATCTTAAGTGACCATTGTACAACTAAATCAGCTCAAAATCTTGGACATCTATAGGTCTGTGTAATCGAAGATGAAATTTTATATAGCACAATGAGTTCTTTGTATTTTTGGAATGGTACCAAATTTAAGCTAAAAAATTGGGAAGTGAAATAAAATGCAACTCCATTCAGTTGGCGGTGGGCCACACCTCTTGTGTGGAGGACTGGTGATACCAGCTAACTTTCAAAACCTCAGGGGATGCGGAGGATTTTGAACCCGTGACCGAGTGGTTGGAAGTCTAGCACTCAAGTTTATGGGCCAGAGCTCCACATGTTAAAAATATAAGGGGATGCAATTTACGGAATAACTTAATGATAAAGACTAGGCATCCACACCTTTTAATCAGTACTAGTTCTTTAGAAAGTCTGAAGTTTAAACGTGCTACAAGGAGGGAGTGTGGCGACTTGAACTGCCGCACATCGGCGCAAAGTTCTATGTCGAAAACACACAGGCAGAGGGAGAACAAGTAAAAGCAATATCAAACAAAAACAGCTGCCTAATGATTTCTGCTTTCAGTAATCCTACGACTGGTGTAAACATGTGGCAAAATCTGCCTCGGAACTAATCAAATATGCACAAGCGTAAAATCTGCATACATTTATTCAAACACAAAACTGACAAAGTGAGTCGCAAGTATAAAAACATAAAAACAAGAAAATAACATCTACGGTGACACCACGAACAAAATCATTCTCATCAAGGGCATTTACCACTTTTTATAATCACTGACAGTAAAAGAAACGTAAAATAAACAACATTTTGAGAAATGACATCATTTCAAACCACATACGATTTCTCAAGTCAGAATCGCCATATCTTTTTGAGACTATCTTGAGTGACTGGATACAGAAACTGATGCAAATTTAATGAAAAAATATGCCCTAAACTAGTGCCATGTCTCTGTCTTTTCAAGCCAGTCACAGGTCCAACAAATTGATATGAAAATTGGTACGAAGACACTTAGAACAGATATCCAAGTCATCGAAATCTATGTCCCAATACAACTAAGCAGTAATTTAAGACAAAAAGTTGCGGTAGATTTCCAACCTGAGAGTACTAGATATCTAAATCCAATAGGAACGTTGCCCACTCACTCAACCTTCAATTAGCCAATTGATGTCACATCAGAGGTGGCTCAAATCGAAATGACTCACCAAGGCTTTAATAATAATGATATTGACTTTATTTCAAACAGTAACTTTAATAAAATGTGAAATTTTCAACATGTAACGCAATATTGCATTTAATTTTGTCCCTGCACTACATAATAAGTACATGGGAAAATAATTCACAGGACACTTACATTGGTATCATTGGCCACTGATAGTACGGATTTAAATTTATAATGGGAATAATAATCACAACAATATATTGATCAAAGAACGAACAGAAAGGATAGTTTGCTCAGTATTTCGTAGTAAGTTGATAGTGTCATGGCCTAACACTTCTCTCATCACATAAAATACGTGCTAAATAAGACATTGTAGCGTTTTGTACTTAATCATCTCAGCATAAAGTCTACCATAGTTGCTTCTAGTTCTACCTCATGAAATGTAAGGAGAGAGTTGTGCATCGAGATGCTCAGAGTCCGATAGGATGACATCTGCTAATTTCCTAAATGAGTTCGAGTGTCTGTCTACAATATTATTAAAAAGTTGGTTTAGCAGTATCCCAATTGCCCAATTGACAACTTTTAGTGACATTCGCAGTGTAACAAATTCTTTCTTAAGTAGCTCAAGGAAGACTAAGTGGTGGGGAGCAATGAAGAAGAACAGATAGAATACAAGAACTGACAAACTTAGAAAGTGGAAACTGAGCAATACCAGATTATCTTTCGATATGCAGTTTTAAATTTTAATTGTCACATTTCCGTAAATAATCGGAACAGTTCTTAATAACACCGAATACAATTTAGCCAACGCCCAAATCCATCCAAACCATCACTTCTGAACTTGGTTTAAGCGTCCACAGTTCATATAGTCTTTAAATTTCATTCAGGCAAATTACAATCGGAATTGTGGTCTATTAAATTACATACATTTTGTCAAGCGAGCTCTAATGTTTACTGGATTAAAACTCCAAGTGCAAATGTTTATAAATCAGATATATGTAACGAAAGCTCAAATACAAATTAAGAAAATCAGGTTAGTTTATGAGAATACGTCGGGTAGGGTTAGCGCATTCATCAATGTCAAAACATAATTCTACTGGTCACTGATTCAATGCTGTCAGTTACCCAGGGCACATTTTTTAGACTTTCTATTACAATACTGATGGGAAAACAGACAGCTGAAATAAGTACTCTGTTTTACCACATTTCGTCTATTCTGGTCAAGTAACTGCTTGAATAAGGCTGAAGAGAAGACCAAACTGAAACTCCACATTCAGTGGTAGCTGGGTGCACGGATCACTTGCATAAAAAGCTGTTTCTGATACACCAACTGGCACCTGCTGCAACCACATGACCAAATTAAGTGTGAATTCATACTGGAAAAAGAACCAAAGCTACCAAACACTTACATTTGAGGAGTTAGCAACAAAAAAAAAAAAAAAAAATTTTAAGAAATAGGTATGTGAAGATGAACAAACGGAGCCAGTGTGAATGTTTAAAAGCTTAGGTGCGCAAGCATATAGTCAAAATACGACACTTACCGATATCCTTCTCTATTTAGCGCATGATCTATTGGAAACCCCAAAGCATTCAACTTTACACGTCCTTCATCAGAAACTGCAGCTCCACTCAGTGCAGTAGTCCCACCAAGAACAGACGTTAAAGTGGCTCGGCGAGTTGAACGCACCAAGCCACTTGGAGAAGCATTGTTTACTTCATTGGATGACGCAGAAGCTCTCATACCAGGGAACGTTGAAACTTCAGTATTAGACATACTCCCCGAAATTTTGCCTTCTGAAGACGTGCCAGGCATAAAAGATGATACAGAAAAACTACCCATTCCACTGAATAAACTATTACCCGGAGATCTGCGTTTACGCCAAGCAGGTTGATCCACACCATCAATTTCACCACTAAAAGGAAACTGGTTGCCAGCTGACGAATGATGCAGGAACTGATCTGCAGTATCGGAAACAGCACCCGACACCGAAGACTGATTTTGAGACACACTGGCGGGAATGTTTGCGGACGGGACACCCAGTTTAGTAATATTTGTCCGCAACTGGCTTGTAAGAGCACGAAATCGATCATAACTCGGACCAATTTTTGTGAGGTCCTACAGAAGTAAATGCAATACGCCAGTGAGCATTAAAACCCCGTCTATTTTTGGGAAAACTACCAAACCTGAGAAACAATTGGGAGTCTTACACTGGACTCTTCTCAGAGAAAAATATTAGGATACGTAAAGCGATTGCGCGTCGGTGGCACAGAGGTTGCGACGCTCGCCGACCATACGCATGCTCCGGGGTTCGATCCCCGGCCGACTCACTCCTTTACCTCGCCAAGCCAGTAATAAAAAAGCTGGTAAAGAGGAAAAATTGGGCATGAGGCTAGCGATCCCATCCTGTAAAATTAAACACTGCTGCAGAAACTTCAAGCCACTAGCCTGAAGCCCTATGTTCCACTGGGAACGTGAAGGGAAAAAAACGCGATTGCACCTCAGGCACGTCAAACTTTCTTTAGCATACTAAACGATCAAATTTAATTCTGGTACACGTCAGACAGTGAATGCAAGTATGTTCGTCTCACTTCGTTACATAAGTGTAACACGGAAACAGAGATAAAAATGACTACATCACGTTACCATTAAAACAGAGCTTAATGACTCAACTCATGCCTAATGGTCAACATTAGGTCGCCAGTTGCACCACCAAACTTCACATGAAAAACAGCTTCCAGCCTGAAATGTCTCCCGTGTTAGCATCCCTACCTTTGGCATCAGCCTCACGCTAACCACCTTCCCCTACTACTCATCCATGGTGTTCCAGCGACAGATGATAACATTACCGATCAAAGGAGAAAACGAACGGCCTTATCCGAACATGGATACTTTGCGATGGTCTCCAAAGTCACTGTTTTGTAATTTGTCAGACCACATTTGCAAATCTAGGCAAGTAAGGATAGTTGCCGCATTTTATCTATAACTTTATAAATTTCATTGCAATCATTTGAATACACTTAGACAGCTACGTTTTACGTTCCCCACTTGATTTTTTCGGAAATGAGTAGTGATTCCACAGTTAATAGTTCAAAGATATTAGCATACTAGTTAGATCCTTACCGTATTTGATAAGCACACGTAGAGATCGTCTGGCGTTTCTACAGTTTTGAAAACATCACTACTAGTCTAAGACCATAGATTAACAGAAATAACAAACCAAAGTTTTATGGATGTTCGGATACCATGAATTATTGGACTTCCTTGGCTGTGTTGTGAGTTCTTCCCAACACTCCTCAAGAAAAGGTATGAGTTCCTTAGATTCCATAAAGTATAAACGACCGCCATGCCTCAGCATTAGATTTGCCAAAGCTGTTTGACACATGACGGTAAAATTAGCCTGCTTCCTAGAAAAAACCTCCTCTCCGATAGCATTGCACTTTTTGCACATGAAGTGGTATGCAGTAAGAAATGGCAAAGCTTTCCTATTGGAGAACAGACAATAAAATCACATGCATGAACATACCCTATGTTGAAAGCAATACATTCCAGGTGAAACCACTTATAACAGACGCTACACTGAAAATCCGGTCTGCTATAATCACGCGGCATCATACTAAAATGTAGACAATGGCACAAATGGCAAACTAACCAGTAACATTGTGGGCCAGGAGGTGTCGGTATATTTATTACCATTGCCAAGAGCATACTCTGGTCATCTTGGTCACAGTCCATTTTTTCTACGTTACTCGTAGTTTCGGAATTGTTTTTCGATGAATTTGAATTATCCCTTACAGTCTAGATAATGATGTATACATAATTTAAGCAATCCACAAACCATCTTGGGAACAACAAAGGCTACAGTAGCGAGCTACTTCAAAAAAGACGACTAGTCCAATATCTTTTTAAAGGCTGGACTTATCCGGCATGTTGGTTGAAATTCTGCTTGGTAAATGTTTTTGTGAATAAATTTTAATAAAATTGTGCTACATGCTTTCTGGATTGATATAAATTCTCATTTCTCTTGATGTCCGCTTCATGCGATCCGACTGCGAAACACTCTTAGCATATTCAATATCCAATATCCAATATCGTTTTTACGAGCTAGTATAAACCAATTTGATTTCTTTGTGCTCGCCTCTTGATTGTGAGGTATAGGTTCTTGATCTTCGGTAAACTTCTGCGTAGCTTGTCCCGCCACTCGACTGTCGTAGCTTTGGTTGACTCCAAAGGGAGTAGTGCTGGGATTAATTATATGTGGTTTGTAGTATGAGGTATGTTAAGACTGTTACTACTGTGATTGGAGTTGATCCTTTCGCCAGTTAGTCCTTCGGTATTGTCGACAAGAGAAAAGAGATAGTAATAATAATAATAATAGTAATAATAATAATAATAATAGATATAATTAGTGAAGCTATTCAGACTAAGAGACAGAAACGAAAATAGGAAACGTAACAACAGTCAGCTCATGAAGTTTGAAGAATAATATATATATCGGTAATAGTAATAATAATAATAATAGTAATTATAATATTAATAAGTTGTCAGGAGAGTAAGACGGGAGAGAATGTAAAGAAGTAAAATGACGAGTTTAATTATCTACCCTGATTGGTAAATGCGATTTTAAGGAGATAGGCCATTTGGATGCAGTCCTTGTATAGCTGCATGGTTGTCCAGCCTTCGCTTAAAGGCGTCCAAAGACGGTGCCATAGCTACATCTGCCGGTAAGGAATTCCAGGGACGACAAACCCGCAGTGAAAAGAAGTGGGAGCGCACCCGGGTCCTTGCCCTCTGGTGAGCTATCCTTCTGGGATTTCCACGTGGAAGCCTATACCTACTCAATGGCAGAACACCTTTGTTTGGGTGATTCTGGTCATTTGTTATTTTGTAGGCAGTAATCAAATTCCCCCTAAGCCGACGGTAACTAAGTGTGAACAGGCCTAATTTCTTCAGCCTTTCATCATATGGTTTGTTTCGGAGACCAACCACTCCTTTTGTTGCCCGTCGTTGGACTCTCTCCAAGAGGTTGGCATCTCTTCTCAGCATTGGGGGTGCAATAATATTATGCACCTCAAGGTGTGGCCTGACGTATGTTTTGTACAACATTAGAAAGAGCTCAGGAGTGAGTGCACCTAACTGTCTATGCGTAAAGTGTATGACCGCATATGCCCTCGCTACATCCCCTGTGTAATTTACGCTTGTGTCCATTTTTTCCGTTAGAACTAGACCTAAGTCGCGTTCCGACGTTGTGCAGGACAAGCTTTCATTGCACAGGGTGTAACTTGCATTCTGCAGTCTACAGGTGCGCAACTTCACTACTTTGCACTTTTTCAAGTTGAAAGTCATGCCACTGGCCACCGCCCAGTCTTCCAGAAGGTTTAGGTCTTCCTGTAGCCTATCTGAGTCCTCCGGACACTTTATCGCCCTCCATATTTTTACGTCGTCAGCGTACAGGAGAGTCGGGCAGCTCAGACGGCGTGGTAGATCATTGATGAAAATCAAGAACATCAGTGGTCCTAGGATAGAACCCTGCGACACTCCTGATGACGATCTGTGCCAAGATGATCGGACTCGGTTAACCTTAGTGCAAAATTGCCTGTCGGCTAGGTAGTCCTTTAACCATGATAGAAGTGGCTCACCTATGCCTGCCTGACTTATTTTATGTAGGAGAAGGTCATGGTGAACAGTGTCAAACGCCTTCTCAAAGTCTAGGAAGACCACATGGACTGGTACGTTCAAGTCCCAGCATGATGTCCAGTCGTCCCAAGCTGACAGTAGGTTAGTGACGCAGGATCTGCCTTTTCTGAAACCATGTTGGGCTTCATGCAGTATATTAGTCCTATCGAAATATTCCCTGATGTGGTCGTCAATAATACTTTCCAGTACTTTTGATACCACTGGGAGTAGAGCTACTGGTCTATAGCTAGCAGCGTTTTGCCTGTCCCCACCCTTGAAGATCGGAGAAAGGATGGCTCTTTTCCACTCCCTTGGCAGGGTCCCCGAATCCATTGAGTGTTGGAACAAGTCGCACAGGGGTCTACAGAGAGCCTCGGCGCACTGTTTCAGAACAGATGGCCTGATGCCATCACAACCTGGGGACTTCCCAGGTATGAGTCTCTGTAGCTTCCTTATTACTATTGCGGGGTTTATTTGGGGAGTAGTCGCTAGGTCTTCCTCCTCTGAAATAGTGGTGCCACCATTTTGGTCCGTAACTGTAATATCCACATTGCTGTTTAGCTGTTTAGCGAAGGCTGAACTGAATGTTTCAGCCATCTCCAGACTAGTGAGATATTGACCGTTTGGGCCTACTAAGGCGCATGCCCCTTGGTTTGTCGGTTTTCTTTCCGACATGAATCGGTACAAGTTTTTAGGGTTTGATAGGAGTTTTTTAGCAAGGTTAGCCTGGAATGACCTTCTGTCCCTCCTAACTCTTGCATTACACCGGTTCCTGAGTTCGAGGTATGCATCATGGTCGGTCTGACTCTTAGATACACGCCACGTAAACCAAGCCCTCCGCTTTGCTTGCAGAATACGTTGCGTGCCTCTCTTCAACCATGACGTCTTTCTCTTAGGCTGTGTTGTGACTAAAGGGACGGTATCCGAGATTGCTGCATGGATAATCTTTTTTACCACTTCCCAGTGTTCATCCACAGATAGGTCGTCCCATGCTAAGGGCCAGTCTGCGTCGGACAAGAGCCTCCGCATTTCAGCATAGTCAGCCTTGCTGTAGCACAGACATGGTCGCGTAACATCCCATTGCAAACGCTCACGGAGGACAAGATCGAAACCTATGACTGCATGGTCACTGCTTCCCAGAGGAGTCATGATCTGGACCTTTTCGACGAGTAGCTGGTCACTAGTTAGAATATAATCTAGTTTTGATGACTTTCCACTAGGGCCCCACCTAGTGTCGTCTCCAACATTCTCAGTCAGTCCCGTGTTTCGAATAGTTTGCAGTAGGTTTCGGCCAAATTTTCCCTTAGCACACCCGGAGCCAAGGTTCAGTGATGGAGCATTGAAATCTCCAGCTATGGTGATTTGGTCGTAGCCCAAATCTCGTATTCCTGTGATAGTGCTGAGCAGTAGCTGATTGTGCTCTGCCCCACAGGTGGGAGATCGGTAGATGCCACCCAGTAAGTGCTTGGTGTGGCCTACGGTGAAATGACACCATATGGAGTCTGGGAGTTCGATAAGTGGTGGGTCCGTTGCGCGCACACATTTAAGTTGCCTATCAAAGTATATAGCAACTCCCCCTCCTTCCTTATTATCCCTGTCTCTCCTGACCAGTACCATATCACCTATACTGATTTCATTGTCGGCGATAGTGGGGTTTAGCCACGTTTCAGTAAGAATGATTATTTTCAGTTGAAGGTGTGCTTGGAGATTTCGGAGTTCACCTACTTTCCCTCTCAGCCCCCTCACATTGCTATATAGGCAACTGACAGTGAGTCTAACAACCTCAGAGTGTTGTGGGGTAGTTGACGTGAAACCGTCTGCTGGTGGGGGACTTGATGTTGGAACTAGTTGGCCGATTCCGATAGAACCGGCCCGTTGTAGTTTTTTTCAATGGATTTAGGCAGGACACTTGGGAGACACAGACTATTATTCTCAGAGCTGCATCGCTCTAGTGTCACCGAAGCTTGGGGTCGTATTAAAGCCTCAGTTTGCTGCCTCCTTATATTTCTGGGTCTGCTTTCACAGCATCGGATGTGTCCTCCAATTTTTCCCTTGGTCTCATACCACCGTTGAAGTGATATGGACAACTGCTCCGGGGAGTTGAATGTGACACACAGCAGCTTTGGAGAGTTAATCAATGTTAGATGAGCGGGACGAGGTAGTCGGAAAATGGAGATGGCTCCAGAAGCGCCAGGGGCCATCTGAGATGACAGCCATCTCCATTGTTGTACGTCGTGCATGTGTTTTTCACAAGCAGTGCCGGTTTCCAGCTCCGGAACACCGTGTACCACCATAGAGGTGGAAGGCATCAGTTCCGGTGACTCCCTCGCCATATTTCTGACGGCCCATGGTCTATCTTGCCGCGCTCTTATGTTAGAACTTCTGTCCAGGGCTAGTACCTGAGCCATTAACAGTACTTTTTCGGCCTCTTCGGCAGAGTCCAGTGTAACCCGTAATGGGGGTGGCTTACCCTGAGGCGTGTGGACACCCCTGTACAGTCTGCACAGTTTTGCTGAACTAATGTTCAGACCTAGTTTGCCGCACAGGTTGGACCACTGTTCCTGATCAAACAGGGCCCGTTGTTCGAGCAAGCTATCCGTGCTCACAGGTACGTTAAAGAGGATGAGAGAGTTAGACCGACTACCCTCAGACTTAGGTTTTGCCTTCGGCTTCTTGCAGTCCTTTGCATCATTAGCAACATTAGGCTTCGTCGGTACCTGGACAGCCTTTTTTGTGTTGCCAGGCTTGCTAGTGGATGCAAGTGGTGCCTTTGTAATTTTGCCCTCCCCTGATGTGGATGGAACCTTGCTAATCTTCACCTTGTGAGAATTGGCATTTCCAGTCAGTAGGGCTGGTGTGTCCTTCTTTAAGTCTTTGACCAGTTTCGGCAGTGCGAGTTTAGCAGGGGGGAGCTGCATGATACTGTGTTGGGGCACAAGAGCATGTTATTTCTGCTATCCGCAGACACGCTTTGTGGGACTATGCCAGGGCGACAAAGTGGACACACGTACCAAAACCATGGGCATGGGTTATTTCTCATAAACTCATAGTATGCTTTCGGTACTTCTTTGTCACAACGGCAGTGCACCCATCGTTTGCAAAAATTACATTCAAACGCTGAATCAGTTTTAGAAACTGTGATGCTGCACGCCTGGCATTCATCCC